TGCGTAGTCACCATTTCAGTTCATACGATTAATTAATCCAATATGAAATTTGTTTTATTCTCCAAAATCGTTCTGGAGAGCGATTTTACTTTCTGCACATCAAAAGTAATAGAACCAGGCACTGATTATCAATGAAAGACAATTTTTTCAGGGACGATTAGCTTATCAATCCATTTATTTCATGGATAATGTGGAGGCTGTTTGATTGTAACATATATTGTGAAGGTTAAACATTTGCGTACATTCCACCTTAAAATAATGCCACTTATGTATTAAATGAATGAATAAACACTGCAACATATGGACCGTAATCATTCCATGTGGGGACTTCAGTGTTCTAAATCGGCGAATTTGCTTGAGTGATGAACACTGCTGAAAGCTAAATTCGAGTCTAGTGCTTCGTCTGTATATGTTTGATTGAATGATCTGAGGTTTTCGTGCAAAGTGAAGGTCCGCGCGACAGCCACACAGAATCGGTAAACAGATACAGTCTGTTTATCGGTGGAAGAGTAGAAGCATTGGACGGGAAGTTGACTGTGAACTTCATTTTTTTATCTACATCGGTTTGAGGATTGTTTCAAAATTTATTTACCTTGAGGTGGAGCAAGTCAACTTATGCTTCTCGTGTCTCAGATACAAAAGAACAAAAAACAGAATGTGTAGTTGCGTTGATGAAATAGAAAACGTTCCAGCGGTTAGATAATAATCACAGTGAATTGTTACCCGAATCGAACCATCTAGGGTTATGGAGAGTGAAAGAGAGTGATTCGACGCATGCTACACTGAGTTGATGGATCGTCAGCAACTGAAGGCCCTGAAACACAGTACGCTCATTCCACACGACACGTTACGACTCACCGAAAGTGCACATTAAACGATTGTCTTTGAATTCCATCTCGGACCTGAGAGTTGCCAACTGGACACACTGGCAACTTAAACCGATTGAGCTGATCATTGACAGTATAGAGATAACATTGCACGAGAAAAGTTTGACAAGGCATGCAAACCTGTTCATATTTAGGGGAGCAAACTGGATCAAATAGACATTTTGTGAATGACATGAAACAGGTACACGTATATACATCGTGACAATAATATATCCTTGGAAGTTTAGGTTGGAAATCTGACTTTGGGGAAGTAATAGATAAGGCAACCTATTTTGCTCAGCCTGCAACTCAAGACATAATGAGTTTTTATAGTCAGAATGTGCAACCGTCTATTATGATAATATAAGGCAAAACTCAGAGAATACAACCGGAATGAAGTGTAACGGACAGACGAGACCTTCAATATCTACATTGACAGACATGTAATGACAGTGGCCATCGCTATCGGAATTTCCCAAGAGACGCTCGCCTATCTCCAGTAAACTGATGTCAATCAGTACAAATTGAGCTGGTAAAAATAATGACACGGATTACAAAGTTTTTCAAACCAGTTCGTCAAATCAGAGGATGTATTTTTCATAGTATACTGATTCATTTATTACAGCATGGCATATTTTCCCTTCCTCGTGCTAGCTAGAGGTGTGGTATGTTTGGCTGATAAGGAATAAAATATAATAAAGTTAGCCTTCTGCTCGTTCAAAATCATTAGTGGCTCCTTATGACGAAGTGTTTCATGAAGCCAGCTGAGTTCACTGCTGCATCAAAAATATAAACACGCCTTACTTCATCCTAATCCACCGCACTGANTTATTAGTGTGTACAGTATGACCAATATGTCACGAGCAGATTGTAATCAAACAAAGAAACAACTTTCTTCATGATTTCAGGACTAGGATTGATCCGGTCACCAAGGGATTCGAACACGCGATGGGTGTGCTGATTTGATCAGTTGAAGACAGAGGCTGTTTCTGATGTGGCTGGACTTCATAATAGGTCAAATGAGTGCGCAACTTCAATGATTTTTGAAACTGGAGAAGAAATCTATTTTTGAAGCGGGCAACAATGGCTGCAATAGGGAAACCGTTAAAGATTAGCTTAAACAGTTCGACTTCAAACAATCTTTGACCACCGTTGTGTTAAACTGATAAAGTGGTCCTTTTTTACATTAAGGATGAATGAATTTTCTGCATAGCATGATTTTTTCGTTAAATAGTAGCAGAACCAGATGAAAACCGTTGCTTACAAAGGTATTCCAGTCCAAGACTGAACCCAACCACAGTAGACTGGCTAAAATTTGCTCATGCCTTACTAATCCGGTAATTTCACAAGCACAACAAATGCAAGTATAGTTATATAGAAATAAAATTCTTCTCTATTTTGATGCCCATCAACCTCGAGTGATTACTCGCGGAAACTCATAAAGGAGAGGCGTGGTTCTAAACCGGGTTAACACTATTCAATGTAATCTGCAATCACAAACCGTTTCAACTTTTCTGTCTTTATATTTTGTCTACTGATCGATGCGTTCATGATAAACCGCACGTATTAGTCAAACATTAATAATCTGGTACAAATCGCACCTGAAATTGTTTAACAACCAGCACCTCACTAGTCAAATGTTATCGGGTGTATTCGAGGTGTCAGACGTGGATTAAATGATGTCCTACCGGTGGTAGTGGTGGTGTTCGTGGTTTCACACACTCGTGAACTTCTTTAAAATAATTCTGAATGTCAACGAAAGTCTCCAGTATTGGAATAGACATAATCTTCCAACGAGTTCTTCACTCACCATGTACGAATATGAATCTAACATAAAAAGGTCACGGAGGTAAACAGACACCGTCGGTTGGACGGTTCATTAGGAACAGCAAAGACAGGTTTGGAGAATCAACCGAATATTCAGAGCCAAAACAAGGTGAAGCAACAGTATCAATTGGGCAGGCAGATGTTATAGGTAGACCTATCACACTGCTTGCATTCAAATCAGGCCGAGGATGGTAGTCCCAATTGTAATATTTTATGATTATTCACATCTAATCAGGAGGGAGAGATATGTAGATGAAGATTTAGAGCAAGGACGGGGCTAACAAGTCACTAGGATGTCATAAAATTCGTACCACTCAGTGCTAGTAAATTTACTGGTCTAATAAGTTCCCTATGGTACCTACGTAAGACGTGATCAAAATTCGGTCACTTCAGCTTGTACCCTATAGACAATTGTGCAAGTATACACGTGGTTATCAATAAGGATCAGTCACTATCAAATTGAATTAGGAGTAAGCCTTATTTTGACATCTACGCGTGGAAATGGAAATCTATGAGTTGTTGCAAAACCGCATCAAATGTGATAGGGAAATCTGAACGGTTTATCCACAAAATCAATACCCTTTTAAATTCAAATAAAATCATTGTAACTTCAAGTGAATCCAATCAATCGCATTCTTCCAGGTACCCAACAAATTGATTGGTTCCTCTGCCGTCACATATCACCGATTGGACCGAGTCTATCAAAACACCCTCTAGTCGGAAAGAGATGATTTCTCCATAGACAAACAAAAGTACTTTTTTGTCAAGTTACCGAGTAAGGGAGCGAATCACGTCAAAATGGATGGATAAATCCGTAACCAAGTTCAGGTGCGAGTGTTGAAATGAATTATTCCATGAGTGGGTTCAATCTAGCCCTCGGTAGCCTACTGAGTAAATCCCATGGACATAGAGACCCCCGCGGGTAACAACAAACCAAATGCAATTGCTTACGTATTTCTGGCATTGAAAGACGCTTGACAAGATACTTAACAATGGTACCGGGGTACAGTGAAAAAATTAGCACCACTTCATCTGAATAGCAAAATTCAATTTTAACTCATTGACTGACTAAAAGAAATAACAGTTTTTCTCCGTAACTCCCGGATTGACTATGATGTTCGATCCACAATGTCAGTGGCAACAACCTGTCACCCAAAGCTTTGTCACATAGTTTATCATCCTTCCTACAGCATTTATCATCCGCGACGCATATTTTCACAGTCTGATTACATCACATTTGATTGGCTGGAGCCGATCTATATTTTAATAAAGTTAGTCTACATAACATGATGGTGTAGATGTGTCTATGTGTGTGGTAGCAGGCATCATTGGTCAATCAATCACTAAAACAGGTCATCAACGGTAAACATTGAGCTGTAGNTAATACAGGTATGAACAGCATGTTATGGGGTTATGCCGTGTTCATTTTCCTGAAGGAGCCTCAAAACATTAGACATTGGGAGCAAGAGACCTGACAAAGGTTACGGTGTTGCACGAGTTCGATCACAACCTGTACATAGGGAACTGATGCAATGCATTATCTCAAATCAGCTGAAGTCTCGCTCTTTCAGCATGAATATTAATTTTGAATTGGAATACAGGTGAAATCCTTCTTCAAATTTCGTTCAGAACAAGGCTGTTTATAATGTAACGAAGATCGGGTCTTGTAACACAGTTAAATTGCACCCCTTTTCATTTACTCGTCAAGTTCAAGCTTTTGCGAACATTTAATCACCAGTTCTGGTGACAACCCCAGTGTTTATGGTACGATAGTGACTTGCCATTATATGTTCATTTATAGAAAAATAATGAAACACCACCTTCTTTGACTGTTCAGTAACAGAATCGGTAAAATAACCATGAGATTTATTGTCAGAAAGGACTTCAAAATGGAAACATAGTTTTCACATTTAATCATTCTTGGTGCTTTCTTTTGTCGAACTACGGACATAATAGTAAGATATTAGAATTACAATTGAGTATGATTGTTACTTTCTGTAAAAATTAAGATTTGTTTGATGCAAACCGCTACATTCTTATCTGTTTACATTGTAGGTATCTTTCTGCTTGATCAATTGGGTCTGCTCAGCATAGCTACTGTGCTTGCGGTAATAAACAACAAACTTTACTCCTCGAATGAATTGATCAATTGGCAAGACTGGGTCTACGTGATATCGGGAACTGGAGAGAGCAAAGGTAGCGATGGAGCCAGTTTTGCACGCCGCTATAGTGCTCGGTTTCAACAATTTCTAAAACAAAGACGCCGCGCAACCACAACATCTTCAAAATCACACCGCTCGCAAGCGCATGAGGCGAAGCCTTCGGGTAATTACTATCCACGTTGGTGGAACGATCAGACGGATTGTGCGGTNTTGTGCGGTATTCGAATCAAACAAACTCCCATACACCGATAGCCGTTCCGTGCTGCCCGCGGAACCGAAACGGTCCTGGTTGAATGGACGTTTTCGTTCACGGGAATCAAACACGAGCGTGGCAAATTCAGACCCTGATGAAGAAGACTCCCTCTCGATCCGTTTGGATGCGAACTATCCCACAGTGCAGTGCTTATCTCAAAGTCCTATCAAGCGACTTTCGCGACAATGCCGATCGTTGACCGATACCAACGGGATTATCCGAATCGCACCATTCCAATATGGACATCATCCTCTGTGTAACAATATCAATTCTCATTCCACTGGCATCGTTGATACCCCTATCACGAATAATAACTGTAAAAGCAACAGCAACAACAATAACAACAAAAGTAACAACGCTCTTGTATATCAGAATAGCTCAATTTTACCGCCCACGTATATGAATAGCAAAGACAACGATCAACGTATTAATGCAAATTGCTCCTCATGTGCGAACAAATTTCTCGAGCCACTGGGTTCACGCTCACCATGGGTTGAACCGCTTCGACACGGACATACGATCAGTTCCAGTCCGGGGCGACTTTCCTCTCGATCTAGTGAATCAGATTCCACCTGCACCTCGTCCTCTTCCTCATCATCTACGCGCATGTTTAAAACCACAATTACAGCTACCGCGGCTGCGGCACTGGCTGCTACTCGCGTACTTAACGAGAGAGAAGCCAGTGCGGTCAAACGTCGTGTAGCGAGCACACGCAATGTGATCGAACAACCATGGGAATCACGAAGTTTTAATGACATGGGTTCACGGAAGCATCGTCGTTCGTCGAACAGTAAAGTGCATAACGAAACACCGACTTCGAATGCAGCTCAACTGGCCGCCGCCGCTGTGAGCGCCGCTTTTCAAGCCGCAGCGATTGTAAATAACAAATCACATCGGGATACGTTCAGTCCACACTTTCGTTGCAACAACACCAATCCCTCCCGCTCGGCCAAATCGAGACCGGGGAAAAAGTCACGTGGTCCATTTTATCCCTATCGAAAGCTTGCTGCAAGATTAGATTGCTTGGAGATGATAGCCTACCTGTTACTGTCAACCATTAATGCAATTGTGTGCCTACTGATCATGCCTCGGTTTACTCAAGACCCGTTACCTCCTAAACACTGGATTATGTAATTCATTCATTTTCGAGTGTTACCATAACATTTACACTCAGCAACATGCACACGTATTTCGCTCATGATGCGTTGCGTGAACCAATAGATAGAGACGGGTTTGTTCAAAGAAATAGTAGTACATTTTTTAACATGGCTCAGAAAATTAACAATGATAAATTTTTGACCTCACGCTTTTGTAGATTCCGCAGATGGAGTTCAGTGAGATACTACTCACGATCGACCACATCACACCAGAACCTTTTGGAAACCAATACACCACCACCACGGTCAAAACAGCTTTCAGGCATTCTTTGAATCAGTCTACCATTGAGTCGATGTAAACAAATGTACAAACCGATAGAAAATGCCAAAGACAACTGTCGACCATCCCACGGACAGCTCATCGGAAATTTCTCTTCTCTCTAATTCGCTCATTTCTTACAACGCTCTCAATTCTATCACTCCCGTTATGCTACAGTCTCACTGGAAACGAAGTGTAACCACAGGGTTCATGTTGCTGTACATCTCACATTGCTGTGTGGTGGAAACCGCGTAAACTGAAAGAAGCACCCTGTTAACAAACACTGTTTTCTTACCCGCATGGCATGTAAATAGCGCATGTTCTAACTAGTTGTGTTGTTGTTGTTGTTGTTGTTTACTTTCTTCTCGGGTGCTCGTCAGTTGGGTGTTCGTCAAGCCGTCCTCCCGGAGGTGGAGCGCAAGAGAAGAAAATATATGGTACAGTTGGGGACACGTGTTTGCAAATCAAAGCGTGCTAAGTTGTTCAAATTTTGATTAACTTCCGGAGCAATCAACAAGAAGTAGAAAAACCGTAATGTGGATCCACGAACATGTGAATCCATCTATTCGAAATAATTGCAATCCCGAATTCGGTGAGCGAAATATTGAGATTTCCAAATATGCGTGCGTATGTTAGTGAGTGCATACCTGCGTGCTCACCTGTGTGTCTGTGTCTCTCTCTCAGTGCTTGTGTGCGTGTGTGTGTGTGTGTGTGTGTGTGAAAGTGGTTGCGTGCGTGCGTTCGTCCGTGCACGTAGTCGGCTAATTACCACACTGTTGACTGAAACCGCTGTTGTTTCTCTCACGATGGAGCGGTGGATGAGCTCACTGGGAGCAACAACTTGCCAGCGAAATTATGCTCACCACTAGAGTGGGAAGGGTACAGTTGGAAAAGTCGCGAATGAAACACTCCACACAGATGATCCCGTATATGATCTAAATCCGGTTCGGTTGACTGTTTAGGATTCTGCCACTCTGACGTTTCGATAGAGGTTGCTTGAGTGATTAAAGTTGGGCGTAATTTTGTTTCAAATCAGCATAAAAGCAGTCATCTGTTCTAGAATTCGGTTATGTTTGTATCCCGAGTTACTTCAGATACAATCATTTTGATGAAGTGACTCACTATCAAATGAAGTGCGAAAGTCGAATACAGGTATTGAAAAACGGAAGTACAGCTAATTTGAACTGGTAAGAATCAAGACGGTTGCTTCAGATATCCGATGATGTGCTCTCCCACCACTGTTCGTAAACACCCGAATGCAAATAAACCCCGAAAAGCAAAACCACAAAATGGCACAGATAAACACAAACTATTTGCTATATCCGAACGTAAAAGACTAACAATGCTCAATGAATTCGGTAGGAATTAGAAAAGAACATGTGAAATGAAACAGATAAATTGGCATTTCCTCTGATGATTGTGTGAGGGATTAAAAGGATTTGTGATTCCGAGTGTGAATGGGATATCATAAAAACGCATGCAGCAAGGTTCCCGGTGAAGCGTTTGTCATCAATTGACTAGATGGTCGTCAGAAAATTCGTTAGAGTTCCGTATGAACAGAACTCACATTCGACCAGTCAAATTGGCAAAATCTACGTTCAAGAGATTAATTAAATAAGGGCAGTATTCCGGTTTCTAGCAAACGAGAAAAACGCACCAGGCATACATAGCCTCCGGCCGGTATGGGGGCGGAGGGGAATGTTTCCTAAACGAAAAACAACCATTTTGGTTTCCGTTTGGTTGCCCAAATGCCAACTCCTTTCTGAATGACTTGTAGATAACTCTGAAATATGAGAACCCATTACATTTTCGATGAATTTGAGAGAATTCACACTTAGCGTCTGAGCCATGGACTGCTAACCCAGAGACAAAATCAAATGAATTTCGTGGGAAAAACGCGATTCGTCGTAATGGGCACTCCATTGGATATTTGCTGGAACAAAACAAGCGGTTTCATTTGCTAAGATATTTCTGATGAACAATTCCTTTTGAAATCCGTACGATAATGGGAAAATGGCATTGCACCAGTCGTTTGTTATGAATCACTTTTATGAGAAATACCTTAGCAGGAGCAGATCGTGATCAAATAGGTTCAGGCAATACATACTACTCGCGATGCAGTTACTTGCATTCAAGTTTGCAATGGGTACGGCAAAGAGAGACAGCTATCACGGATTTCATTGTGCAAACAGCGATTGGTACTAGACAGCAGATGTTTAGTAAACTGATCACATTTATCGAAATGCTTGCTAACAGTGCAAGGAACAAGATCCTTGTAGACAATACTAGTGAATATAAATAGGAATTAAATATACCTGCAAAAACAAAGCTCGGGCGGAAGATAGGTGTGAATGGAGAGGCAGTACAACCAATGAGGCATAATGCAGATGATAACAATTTTACGTATCAGGGAACACCAAGTTTCATAACATTCCAGTGTAAAATGACAACTTGGGAACCACTATAAAGACATTGCGATGAAAATGTTTGTGATGACCGACAAAGACAACTGGACGGCTGTTTCGTCCTGTTTGGGACTCGTCACCAGTGCGTACATTTTGTGTCCCTGTCAGGATGAAACGGGTGTCCAGTGCTCTTTGTTGGTTATCACAAACATTATTATCTTGTGGGGAATTAACGATCTCCCAGGGAATGAAACCCACCCTCAAAAGCTTAACAATAGAATGGGCTAATCACAGCTTACTAATGTAAAAATCATTATAAAGACATTTTCAACACGTATAGATCAAGAAAGATTGTGAAATAAAATAAAACCAAACTGTTTCCTATATCTAGCCTCAGACTGAGCACAAATAGCACAAGCAGAGAATAGTAGAACACAATTCTGAACATTGAGCTCCAGAGAGCCAATAATGGACTAATCACAAAGGATAGAAAAACAGTCTTTAAGAGGACCGAGTAAAGAAAGATCGGTATGCGGACGTCCGATAACAACACCATGTGCATATTTGGAGCCTATGAAACCACGGGAAATTGGAAGATCCCTTGTGTGCAAAGAGAGAAAAAAAGCGGCAGAATGACTCCCTTAAATATACCACAGCTAATGGGGAGAGCCGGTGAACAGATAGTTTCTTAGGACATAAACAGAGTCCCGTTTGAGAAGTATTCCAGTAAAAGATTCGAAACATCCGGTCGAAACCGCAGACATCGGAGTGATGCTATGTGGTGCCCTGATTCACAAACCGAAAGCGTTTGGCTGATTGAGAAAAATCGATCCGGAGACCTTTATATAAGGGAGACGCAACGAAGTACGCAACATGGGCAACATCATCAAGCTCCATTCTGCTCAAGCCAGGAAGAGTCATGCGAGCCTACTTATAAGGACATCCGTTCTAATAGACTATTCTCAAAGATCGTCATTATTACTAATTTCCAAGCAATTGGGTGGCACGTACTGGAATCTTTCTCGAGACCAAGGATTATATTAGCAGACCTCCACTTTCAGAGTATCACTCAGACGAGCATGCAGAAACTACACACATGAACAATAAGCTTAGAAAGTTCTTCAGCACAACCTTTTAGTAGTTCGAGTGACAATCGACCGAGATTGCAAGCTTTTTTGACTTCGAGGCTCTTCAAAACTGTGGGATAGATGTATAAATGCTTAAACAGTCCCACGGAGCTCGTAATGGGAGCACAACTAGGCAAACAAGCTCGTGTTTAGTGTGTCTTATGTTTTCATTATGTCTCAGAATGTCTTCAGTATGTCGTCTTCAGTATGTCAGTATGTCTTATACCATTAGAATGATCTATAGATATTTACAGACACACACGCACACTTCTGAGTTCAGTCTACGTGCCAAAAAAATCACGGTACAATGATCTTCGTATAAAAGAAAAAATGTTTATGATTTGCTCCAGGACCTCGGTAAAGCTGATGGAGAAAACATTATCACAACATGGGTATTTAGGAATGGGGCGTATTTGCTCCGGAGGAAACAGCAAATAAACTTACTGTATCTTCAACATGAGGACAGTGGTTTGTACGTTTTAGTGGTAACCACATTTCCTGACAGCTCTTGTTACTATGACTGGTATTAGTATCTAGCCGATGACTCTCATTCCTGATAAGCAAAGATACAGGCTTAATTAAATTACCTATTTCAATGAACCAAGCTAACTCTCCCTCTTATGCGAAAGCCGTTGCAGACGTGATGAAGAAATTCGACCGACCGACACGAGTATAAATCGTTTTAACAGGACAGTAAATATCCGTACGAAGCTTCAGATAATCTGGAAGATTTTCGCAATACGAATAACAGTCGAAATCAGTAAACATATAGCCATATGTGAAAAAAAATCATTTTTCCCGTAATGACAAAATATCAAGGTTGTATTTTAGTCTCTTAATAATCTGTTATGAAGGTTGTGTTTCGATTCTTCACTTTTGTAGCATACCTTGGGTTAAGCTAAAAATAATACACTGATCAGATATGCTAAAATGGGAGTATGTTGTGCATGTTGGAAGTTCAGGATTGCTAAGAGAGTAGAGATCAAACACGGTAGCAAGCCAAGTGCGGAACTTCATAAGATAAGTTAGATTCAAAGAGGGTGAAAATGAAGTATCAAGACAGTTAAAATCTCCTGCAAAAAATTAAAATAATTATCGAGATAGGTGACCAGATGAGACGAGGGAGAGTCAGTGAATACTGCAATATCATAAGCGGAGGTATAGGGGAAGAGTTCGAGTACGGTGT